CCCCCCGCCACAATCCCTTCTCCTCTGTTCTCCTCTCAGGACCTTGGGCACGCACACACATGCACCCGGCATGAGTTTAAGCCACCAGGTCTGGGACTCGAACCGCGGTTGACTACGTGGGAGTCCAGCGACATAGCCATTACGCTAACTGCTGGTCCCAGAAATGAACTGCTCTTAAAAGAGGAGATAATTTGGTAGCTAGAGAACAAGGTCGTGAGAAAGGAAGGGGTTGTTTCGGTGCGGCCATTTCTCCCATCTTCGGACTCTGCACACCTTGCAGAGCTTCCAGCAGCGCCATGCTGGGACAGAGCATCCGGAGGTTCACGACCTCCGTGGGCCATAGAAGCCACTGTGAGGAGGGTCCAGGGAAGAATCTGCCATTTTCAGTGGAAAGCAAGTGGCAGTTACTCGTTATGATGACTTTGTACTTTGGATCTGGATTTGCTGCACCTTTCTTTATAGTAAGACACCAACTACTAAAGAAATAAGGATGTTTTAATTCACCCATTTAATAGATAAACATCTTAAGAGGCGCAGTCACAATCTCTGGAAAATGGATCAAACTCTTAAAACTCACAGCATACTGAATATGCTTGTAAATAAACTTATGACCTAAAAAAAAAAAAAGAGGAGATAATTTAAACAAAGACATTTTCAGACAGCAAACAGCTCTGAACTGAGCTAGGTTTTTTTCCCCTGCAGCATGTGGAACAAAACAGAGCTGGCCTTAATAGCAGAGCCTCTCCCAGAGCTTTCAGAGCAGAAACATTTCCGTCAAGACGAGATGACATCATCTACAGATGAGAAACTAAGAGGCAGTGTGTGACTGACTTCAATGTTTGAAGTACACATATAATTTGGAGATGCTAGAGACTAGCCGGATGTGCATTCCTCAAACAACTAGAGTTCTGCCTGAACAGGTCATAGAGAAGCAAGACCAAATAACCTACCAACACTACTACATAAATGTGTCAATAATTCCTACAAAGAGCACAAAGAGATAAACAGACAATATTGAAACATCACACCGTAAACTATAAATATGTACAATTGTTATGTATTAATTATACAGATAATAAAACTTCAAAAAGTAAAATAAGCAAGCTTAGCAAAATGTTACCTCATAGGAGATTCTTGCTTGATAAGACTGAGAGTGAAACATTTAAAAAAAAAAAAAAAAAAAGAGAAGAGAAGAGAGAAACAAAATCCCCTACCATAGCCAAAACTAAAAACCAACCCGTGGTTTGGTGGACGCTGTAACGCAATCTCTCTAGTCCTAGTTAACTTGGAAAAATGAAAAGCATTCTAACTATACCCCTCTGCTGGTAGGAGGCACAATATGTTCTCCAAATGAAAATACTCAAAAATATGTCTGAAATGTCAGCCTGCCTCCTGAGAAGTGCTGCTGAGCACACAGCTCTAAGTGACAGTGTTAAAAAAAAAAATTGTACCATTCTACACTCTCAATAATGACTGAACCAAGCCAACTAAGAAAACCAAGTCATATCTCAGAGAAGATAAATTTTGTTTCCTGCCTAGTAGGTATCAATTTTTCCAAAGGATGTTCTAGGAAAAAGATAAGGATGTTCCCAGAAACAAAAGCTCTAATGCAGTTTGAACTACCAGTCCTGGAGTCATCTCAGTCAAGAGACAACTAAAAGAAATGTAAAAGAATGAGCTATGAGCCACAAATTAAGTAAGCTTCATCTTGATAACATACAGCATTTAAGCAAAATTTCTGCCACTAGCAACAATCTCTATGAACCTCAGTTTCCTAATTTGGAAAATGAGAAATTAAATAATTCTACATATGTCCTTTTGGCTTTGAGTTCTATGTGGGCAAATTTCATGATTCTCAAGCCTCAACAGTGCCTCCGGCACCAAAACTTTGCTTGAAATTTTGTGATTCTTGGCAGATTGCCATCTCTCAATTCAATTTCCAAATCTGACTCTGTCTTGAAAAAGCAACACATTTTTCTGAGTTAGAATGTTACATACTCCAATCACTTCTCTAGTTTTGAGCCAAGATCAAGTGTAGAATGTACATATTTCAGCAGAGAAAGCTTAACTTTAAGGATACTATAATGACTATTAACTGCCCCAATAATGTACTTCAAAGCAGCTACATCACAACCTCCAACCAGGAAAACAGAGATATGACCAAGTTACTTCTTTGTCATGAGGACCCTTTCATATATATACAGATTCTTCTCAACGAGAACTTAAAGTCTACCGGATTTGTTTACCTATACTGTTCACAGGAAAACTAATACACTCTACCCTCATTGACTATATACACACCCCCCCAAAAAAAACCCTCTTCTCATTCCCTCTGCCCAACTTCCCTTACTCATCTTCCCTCAGCTTCTTATGTACCTCCCCCCCACAATCAACATCACTGATTCTTTGGGACAGAGCTTATTCTGGATAAATTCCATACCGCTCAGTTAAGCACATAAGACAGATAATAAGATATACTGAACTCCCTACAAGGACCTCCCCTCCTCTCTTTATTAGTTTATCTCAGATCCTAGTAACAGAAACTTTCTAGGGAATCAGATGTATAAAACTTTATACATACTGTATATAGCTATTATTAATAAATAGACTGGAATTTCACAGGAGAGAAAGAAAAATGACTAGAAACAGTTTTAAAAGACAGAAGAGTTGAGGGAAAAAGTGCACTTCAAACAGAAAACAGTAAAAGAATAAAAAGCTCATAGCGGTTATGAACAAAACAGGATGAGCACAAATTTAGAAACTAAACACTGTACTCTTTCGGTGGAGAAGGTTGGAGAAGTGAGGAGCAACGAGGAATGGGCTAAGAAGGGGTTTCCTCTAAGACCGTCAGTCCGAACACTGAGAATGAACGATGGGCTGGGTGTAGAACGCAGAAAAACAGATTCCCTCTATCTGCTTATCAGGAAACAGCTTATTTCCTGAAGTACACTTTTATCCTTGACCAAGAAAAAAGTGCAGTAAAAAGAAGAGAGAAAATAAACTGGATAACTTTGGTCTTCTTGCTGCCTTCTGTCAAATAAAAATACTCTGAAATCTTAAGAGAAAAAAAAAAAAAAAAAAAACTCAGTTTAAAGGATAAAATAACCACTTTTTCTCTCCCTAGTTCTGCCTCTGGCCTGCTGTTATCTGTGGTTTGATTCACAGGCTATAGTTTCCATTAAACTATTAAAGAAAAAAAGCTAATAAAATATTTAGTAGCTATTAAGTAGTACATATTTGAGCAAAGGAATTAATCAGCTGTATATCAACACAGAAAAGCCCAGACATTAACAAGCAAAACATACTACTTTGATATTCAAACCTAACTGTAAGTACACATCACCCATTAATATCAGATACTGAACACTTATAAGAATAATTATACCTGGCACTGGGCTTGAGCAGCCAAGACAGAAATAATAAACAGTTAATCTTTTTTTTTTTTGGAGAGGTTTTTGCTATAGGGCACATGTGCTCACCAGAAAGACAGAGAGACAGAAAGCAAGAAATCACCCTCTAGGAGGGATGGCCACACCACAATCCTTTCTCCTTCATTCTCTTCTCGGGACCTTGGGCATGCATGCACACGCGCCTGGCCTGAGTTTAAGCCACCGGTCCGGGACTCGAACCGCGGTCTACTCCATGGGAGTCCAGCAACATAGCCATTACACCAACTGCTGGTCCCCAAATCTGGTCAAATTTAAATAAATACATAAATACATAAAGTTAAATAAAATAAATCTTAAAAAAAAAAAAAAAGACACCCTGATGACCCTGATGTTAATTTTCCAGCAGAATCTACCAAGAAGACAAAAGGAAAAGGGGAAGGAATGTCTGCGTGGGGAGCAAACAAAATCTCTCCCTCCTTAAAATGGTATCTGACTACATGACATTGTGTTCTACCTAAAGATTTCCAAATTTCAGTTCTTCACTCCAGTAAAGTGATCTAAATTGCTTTACTTTTCACTGGAGTGGATGGAAAGAGTTCAGTCAGACCAAAAAAATATATATATATATATAAATAAATAAAAATTTAAAAATCAACAAGAACCCCTGCCATTGTTACCAGATTACAACACTATTTACTGGTAGGGTTCTGTTGGAAAGAACAAAGTTACTGGAATAATGGACTGATGAGGCTGGTCCTATTACAAAGGTCCCAAGCAAAAATGCTTCAATCTTGTGTCCTCTGGGGTTTCCCTCAGCAGTCAATAAAGAAAAAAAGGTCAAGGGGACAGCAGGCGGCATGGTGGTTAAGGGTGCTGGACTCCTACATGGATGACCCTGGTTCAAGTTAAGAACCTGGTTGATTGCTTACTCTTTCACTCTCTCTCTCTCTCACTCTACCCTTTTCTGGTCAAAATTTAAAATAAAATAAATAAAGTTAAATTTAAAAATAATTATTAAAAAAAGGTCAGGAAAAAAGCTATATAGTTCCATCCAAATCCTCTGCGAGGCTAATAAAATCATAAACAGTGACAATTTCAAAATATTCCGTTCTGAAACAGAGGAGCTATACTTCACGATCATCTAAGGTTTCAAGTGTTTTTCCTTGAGGGAGTCACATGTGATTTTTATCACACAGTTCTTTCTTTTTTTTTTTTTTTAAGGGTTTTTTGCTATAGGGCGGGTGCGCTCGCCAGACAGAATGAGAAATCACCCCCCAGGGGGGATAGCCACACCACAATCCCTTCTCCTCCATTATCCTCTGGCGATTTGGACACACACACACACACACACACACACACACGCGTGTGCGCGCACGCCCAGCGTGAGTTTTAAGCCACCGGGTCCGGAACACGAACCACAGTCGACTGACTACGTGGGAGTCCAGCGACACAGCCATTACACTAACTGCTGGTCCCTATCACACAGTTCTTATTTCAGGTCAGCACTATACACCTTATTTAGCATCCTAACTTTTCTTTCTAATACCTCCACTAACCTCAAATCAAGTTTCCAGAACAGAAATGTTTTATTCTTGTCATGATGGTAAAGGGGATTTGCTGGCTTCATTTCAAGATCTTGGTGGACTACAGGAAATTAAAACTAGAGAGAAACAAGCTCTCCAAACACTGATGTGACAGATGGTCACATTATCAACAGCATCTCATCACAGCTGACTTTATTAGTATGTAATCCCATTGTCCAAATAATGAGGATGGGGGAGAAAAAAGGGAAAGGAATAAATTTCCTTGCACACCAAACAGCTGAGACAAGATACCAAACTGCATCACCTTTTATTAACAGTGTTTGTACAGTAGCTTCTGTAAGCTGATACTCGTTTCTAATTGCCTCCCCCAAATCCAAACATGGTAATTAGTCCAATGGGAAAGATGTTAAACATCTCTCATAGCTTATAGTTTGCTTTACCTCTCTATTTCACTTGTCAGCAGTATAAAAGACCAGCTCTGACTTCACAGTGAAACAATCTAGACAGGGATTTAATATTGGCAGGGAACAATTCCTCTAAATAATCTCTCCTTCCTAATTTGAATGCCAAAGAGTTTGTAACCCTTCTGTTACATGACTTGTGTTAAGTTTTAAGTGGGTTATCTTTTTCTTTAAAGAATTATTTTATTTTATTTATTTATTATTATCATCATCAGTGTTTCGATTTGACCAGAGACACACACAGAGAGAGAGGGAAAGTGAGAAAGCAAGCCGCCAGATCCAGTACTCAAACATGGTTGGTCATGTGGGAGTCCAGCGCATTAACCACTACCTGCTGGCCCCGAGTGGCTTTTTAAAAAGTATGTCAGTCAACCTGTCCCTAAACCATGACATTCCTCTCTTTTTTTGGAGAGGTTTTCTTTGTCATAGGGCGCGTACGCTTGCCAGACAGAGAGAGACAGAGAGACAGAAAGCAAGAAATCACCTGGGGGGGGGGGGCAGGCGCCCACACCAC